GCCTCGAGGGATTCTTGACTTTGGAATTTGCTCCCTTCCCTCATTCACCAAAGGCTGGATCTGTCAATCATCAGGGCATGCTGCATGGATCATCTTTTCTCCAGGACATTTGAGGACAGGTTGGGTGAGGTACGAAGGGGTTTTTCTGTCTGCTGGGGGAGGTTTTTATGGTTGGTGTGTATTTCTTCATATGGATGGGAAGAGCAGTCCATTATCTTAGAATATTTCATTAGATTAAACTATGTATGGGCACCTTGAATATAAGATAGGCACTTATGTTTGTATAAACCAAAATGGGGGGGAGGGGAAATCAGTTAATGTTTTTTCTCTAGAAATGGCATCAATGCGCAAACTAGTGTTGTTTATTGAGCCAGCATGTGTATTTTATTTATTTATTTATTTTAAAGCATGAAAGATTAAATTCCATTGACAACTGGGACACAGACACCCACTGGGCAAAGGGATCACGACTATTTTTTACAATAGTAAAATAGTAAAAAAGTCTGACAGCTCCTGTCTCAGACCTGACAAACTCACTACACCTAATACACTGCTTTCATGGTATTTACCCATAAAAGGTAGCATGTGAGATCTCTACTGAAAGCTTGTAACTTATCAATACTTGGTCATTGTGAGATGTATTTATACATAATATTTAAGGAATAACAAAATTATATTGAAAACTATGCCTATGGGATTGGAGTAAAAGTTAGTCATATGGCCTGATGATGGCCCATTCAAGCACGAGAGAGTTGTCATCCCTCCTTGGTCAGCCGGTGATGTCATGTAAGGTTCAGTTGTCTACCGTTGCCCCATCTCAGAATAGTCAATGGAAAACCATCAAAGACAACTGCAAACAATCAAAACCACTTAGGGGTAGAAAGGAACATTAAGGGGGTCACCCTGTCTGTGACTAAAGACACAGGATGGATCCATCACTGGGTGAAGAAAGACACTCTGCAGCCATTCACTGAGGAGACATCTCATGGAGTGGGGCTGTTTCATGAAAGACTGGATCCTGGTTCCTGTGAAGCCAGCCAGCTCCAAACCTTTGGGGGGAAAACCTACTTTATGAGATAGAAAAATGTAACTATTAATAAGGGTGGGCCCTAGTTTGCGTTTTAAGATTTTGTTTTGTATTGTAACCATTTGTTTCCATCACTCTCTTGTTTCTAGTGGAACCTCTATTCTTCTTTAAAAATACATTATTTTGTTTTATTATAAGTGCTCATAAGTGCTGTGTGAGATACAGCAGCAGTGGTTTAAGGTAAAACTGGTAAACTGGGGTACACTGCTCCATTGGGAGCAGAGGATCTGGGATTTCCGTGAGTAGCCTGTGTCAGGGGCTGGATTTCACGGGGGATCACTTCAAGGGGATTGTGGTGCACCTCTTGTTTACCTGCACAGCAAAGACAGGATACTGGCACAACCTGAAGGAGAGTGGGTGAGCGTCTGAAAGGCTGGTGGCCTTAGGAATCGAACACCCCACTATCACAGCAAGACTTCCTCTCGCAAGAGGCAGAAGGTAGGGAACAAGATGACTCAGTCCTGGGAACCCCGAGAACCATCACAATACACCTTATCAAACCCCTGACTCTGAGCTCTATCTACATCATTTAAACTCAGCATCTGCATTTAGATGATTCTGGGGGGGATCTGTCTACTGCTCCCAAGTTTAGATGGAACTTCAGAAATCCTGCCAAGCACCCTTGGAAGTACCCAGCCTCCGCCCATCGTGTATGCATTCAGAACACTCAGAACTCCAGGATGATACATCAAGAAAACACCACACACATGCCCAGCACCTTATGAATGTGCAGCCTCAGGCTTGGGTCATTTTAGTGGTCTTCTAGATTCTCAGAGTTTAGCAGTGACAGGTCGATTCTTTCTACATTTTAAACAAATTGTTTTTCTTTTTCTTAGATTTGTTTCCCCAGCCCATCAATTCCTATTCGTCTCAATGGGCATTCTACCTATCTCCACTTTTATTTTTTAATTAGGACTCTCAAGATTTCTCACGATCAGTCCTTGAGAATTATGGGATGAGGAAAGACTGGAATGTAGCTAAATACTTGCATGCTGTTGAAAGTGTAAGTCAGCACCACTAAGTGCAGTTATTACCACTAATGGACCTGCTAACAAGGCTGTGTGAATCCACATTTATAGCACAACAAAAACAGGATGGAGAGCCCAAAAGTATTGTCAGATTCGCCACTAGTTTCACCAGCGATAAACAAATTTCCCTCAACAATAACAAAATGTATATTTAAAAACAAGAAAAAGAAAAACAACTAAACCTTTGAACTAACATGTTTGTTAAACGTAAGTGCTCAGTCACTTTGCTTTTATATTGTAACTCTTCTCCCCAGTCCAAAAATAGACAAAATATAGACAAGAGATTATCAACTCTTATAAAAGGGAATTTATCTCCATACATTTACACCCATGATACTGTATCAGTTTCCCTCAGTATATTTTTATTTGGAGACACTGCACTCCAACTTGCAGGTTCTCATTCATTCTGCCACGTTTTTCAGATTATGTAGCAATTTTCTCATTGGTTAATCTCCGCAATGGGACTACTCACAGAGTAAAGCATTACTCAGTGTGAGTAAGATGACACTATCAGGCCCTGAATACTGCTAATATATTGTGTGTTACACTGTCAAAGTGCTGAACAAAGATTAATCAATGAATAAGAGATTACAGTTGGAAGTAATTTTGAGAATACTGTATTAAAAGTCTCTCCCTTTGATGATGAAAATATTGGCTCTGTGTGTTTCACTGAAATGTCTTTTTTAAAAACAAATCTCTCTTATTCAGATTGTCACAGCATCTGCACACTAAAAATAGTGAACTGTAGAAATGTTACAGGCAGATCGTGATCACTGCCCCCCCCCCCGAACCTATTTAAAATGAAATAACAACAGCTACTACGCACTAAGACAAAATAAGAATAACTGCTATGTAATTAGAAATGGGAGCCTTGCCTTTGAAGGAAGTTCTCATGGGGATGTAAACTTTGCAGCTGGCCCCCTTTCTCTATAATAGGTGGAAGGAACCTACCAAATGTCAGGATGAAAAAGGAGAGGGATGGAGGATAATACAATCATGTCACTCTATAAATCTATGGGATAGCCTTAACTGGAATACTGTGAGCAGTTTTCATCACCCCATCTCAAAAAGGATACTGCAGAATTAGAGGGAGTTCGGAAATATGCAACAAGAATGATTTGGGGGCAGTAAAAACTTTCATATGAAGAGAGATTGAAAAGACTGGGATTGTTTGCCTTCAACAGGGGATGGCTTCGACAGGGGAATCTTGAGTAGGAGTAGAGAGACTATTTTAATTCTGTGTTTGGCACTGGTGCGACTGCCACTGGAATACTGTGTCCATTTCTGGCACCTACAATTGAAGAAGGATGTTGGTATATTGGAGAGGATTCAAAGAACCACCACGAGAATGATTAAAGAATTAGAAAACATGCCTTATAGTGACAGACTCCAAGAGCTTAATCTAGTTAATTTAACAAAGATTAAAGGGTGACTTAATTACAGTATATAAGTACCTACATGGGGAACAAATATTTAATAATGGGCTGTTCAGTCTAACAGAAAGATATAACATGATCCAATGGCTGGAAGTTGAAAGGGGACAAACTCAGACTGGAAATAAGGCATAAATTTTTAATGGTGAAAGTAATTAATCATTGGAACAATTTACCTGGTGGATTCTCCTTCACTGACAATTTTTAAATCAATACTGGATGTTTTTCTAAAAGATATGCTCTAGGAATTATTCTGGGGAAGTCCCATTGCCTGTGCTATACAGGACATCAGACAGATGATCTCTTCTGACCTTAGAGCTATGAATAAGAGGGGACATGATAAAAGCATGCAGAATAATGAATGGTCTACACCTTGTATTCACCCAAGAACCAGGAGGCTTTCAAGGAAACCAAAAGGGGCCAAATTCAAAACTGGACAAAGGAAATAACTTTCTCACACAACACATAACTAACCAATGGAACTCACTACTACAAGATATTATTGAGGCCAAGAACTTAGCAGGATTCAAAGTGGGATCAGGCACTTCCATAGGTAATAAGTGGAATTATAATAGTTAAAAAAGTCTAGAAACCCTCCCGCTTCAGGGCCTAAACCAATCTCTAATTAAGGGACTAAGGAGAAAACTTTTCCTGGGGACAGGTTACTGCACATCCTTCCTCTGAAGCATCTAGTGCTAGCCCCGGTCAGCGCCAGGGACTAGCTGGGGCTGATGTAACAGGGGGGTTCCTAGGCTCCAGCACCAGACACCCCCCAGGAGTGGGGCCCACGCTGTGCAGCCAGCTCCGAGGGCTGGCAGGTACCTGGCGAGGTCCAGGAAGGAGTCCACCGTCTCTTTGTTGGTGGGCAGGGCGTCGGCCAGCCCCAGGGCGTTGGTGTTCAGCGCCTGGGCCCCGGCCCCCGGTCGGATGATGAAGGCCAAGGCTACGGCCAGCGCGGAGGCCACCAGGGTGGTGCCCATGAAGTAGGCGACGGCGATGCCCCCCAGCTTGCCCAGGGCCCGGGTGTCCAGGCTGGCGGCGCCGGAGACCAGGCTGCAGACCACCAGCGGCAGGATGACCATCCGCAGCATGCGGAGCAGCAGCTCCCCGGGGAAGGCCAGGGCGGCCACCTGCGCCCGGCTGAGGTGGGCGCCGCGGACGGCCGCGCCCAGGGCCACCCCTAGCAGCACGCCGGCCACGGTCAGGATGACCAGGCTGTGCTTCCTCAGGCAGCGGCCGCAGCCCCGCCGCCGGGCCGGCTCCGCGGGCAGCCCCCGGGCCGCCGCCGCCTCCAGCCCGGCCAGGGCGTCGCCCTGCACGTGGCCGTTCCAGCTCTCGCTCGGCTTCTCCATGCCGCCGGCCGGTGCTGGCCGCCCGCTGCTGCTGCAGCCCCGGCTAGGCAAGGCGCCCGCGCCGCCGCTGCAGCCCGCCGGGGATGATGCAAGGCTGGCCCTGCCCCTCGCGCCGGCCCCCCTGAGCACGGGGGGCCCCCTCCTGGGCGCTGCCCTGCGGAGCCGGCTGGGAGAGCGGCCGCCACGCGGCGCTCGGGGGCGGGCTACTTGTCCGGGGGAAACCCAGCCAAAGAGGGGGGCGAGGGGCCGGCTGCGCGTCGCACTCCCGGCCGAGGTTTATTTAGGGCCAGCGCCTCCTGGTTCTTCCCATAAAGGGCCAGGCAGCCCCCGGGAGAGATGCTTCCAGCGGCACATCACGTCCCAGAGCCAGCCTCCGGCTCACAGCCCGTTGCACCGCGCAGGCTTCCTGTCCGGTGTCTACACAGGGCTAGGGCTCGGCTTTGACTGGGCTTGTACAGCACATTACAGTGAAACCCGCCTCCTGTCTGGGGATGCTAGTCTAAACTCGACCTTCACATACACAGGAACAGACATCAGTCACCAGCATCACTGTGGGCCCAGGCTCAAGGCAACAGCGAATGGGGATGGCCTTGCCTGCTGCTGACAGCCTGCTTGGAGTAGAACAGCACAAAGCAGGCAGATTTACAATCTCCAGCCAGGCTACTAACACTGAAAACTGCTCCGAAGGACCCTTGAAACAGATGGAAAGAAGGGCTCCATCAAATGGAAGTTAAAACCCACGGAAATGAAGTTGGGCGTGCATATCTTTTCCCTTGAATCAAGGACAACTTGTTTATCCTTCCCACCTTTTCCTTTGTTCTCCTGGACTTTACAAAAAGGATGGAGAACGCGTCTAGAACAATGGAAGTGCTGCATTATTTTTATTGCAACATCATCCAGGGAGCCTACTCAGGATCAGGGCCCCATTGTTCTAGGAATTGTCTTAACATACAAAGACAAAGAAAGGAAGGATGGTTCAGTGGACTGGGTGCTACCTTAGGTGTTAGGAGACCCAGCTGCAATTCCCTGCAGTGCCACAGACTTCCTGTGAGACCCTGGGCAAATCACGTAAACTCTCTGTGCCTCCATTTCCCATCTGTAAAAGGGGGATAGCACTGGAGGGTATTGTGAAGATAAATACCGTAAAGATTGTGAGGCGCTCAGATATTATGGTAATGGGGACCATATATGTACCTAAGTATGGGCGGCAGGTGAACTGCCCACCGGAGCCCTGAGCTACCCCCTCTTCTTCCCCCCCCCCCCC